AAAGGATTTGGTAGTACTTTTTTATAATTAATATTTTTTTTTTTTTTTTTTTTTGTGGAACCAGGGATTGAACTCAGGCCCTCGCACTTGCCAGGGAAGCGCTTACTCCACTGAGCCATCCCCCCAGCCCCAATATAATTAATATTCTTGCTGGGCGCGGTGGCACAAGCCTATAATCCCTGCACTGGAAGGCTGAGGCAGGAAGGTCTTTGTAGGTGCAAGTCCAGCCTGGGCTACAAAGCAAGCTCAAGGCCAGTTTGAACTGTATAGCATGACCATGTCTAACAAAGAAAAAAGGAATTAATATTCTTAGACTGAACTCAGGACTTTCGCTTGCCCAGCAGGCACTTGTGCCTCTGAGCTATCACCCCAAACCACTTTTTTTTTTAGAATTATCAGAAAAAGATAAATCAAGACACACAGAAGCAACCCCAAAATTCAATAGCAATTACACTAATTCCATCTCCTATTTAAGGTTTCATTGTAGAATTTTCTAAACCTACTTAAGTTTATGTTTTAAAACACCTTTCTATGCTAGCTTCTGTCTCCTGCTTTACAAAGCATACAAAGAGGAAATATTTTCTTCATTGTGCTCCTTTGTGGAACTGAAAATTTTACATCAGTGATAAGACATAGAGAAAGTAATTCTCATAAAAGAGTACACAGAAGAAATTTATATTTTAGAAAAATTAAAAAACTCATAGGCTACATAGAAACTTGGCATAGATAATTTTATGGTAAAATGCATGGAGAAAAAATGTTCATGTTATTTCCAAATTTGGAACATATGCATTAAAATGTAAAATAAATTAACAAACATGGCTTTAAAAAAAAAAAAAGAAAAGAAAAAGATAAATCAAAGTATTTCATTTGGGGGTAAAGGGCAAAAGAAGTTGTTTCTGACTACCTGTAATTGAAATTCACTGTATATCATGAGTGGTAAGATTACGAGTTATTATATTTTCTTCCTTTAGCTTGATACCATTTTCGCTCCACTTTTGTGGGTTTTTTTTTTTTTTTTTTTTTCTTTTTCTTTTTTTTTTTTTTTTTTTTTTTTTTCTTTTTCTTCCTGTATTCTAGGGAAGGGTCCACAGGGTGTTCAGGGTCTCACCACTATATCGTACTCATAGTGATCTGCCCGTTTACACCCTCCCAAGTGCAGGATTACAGGCGCACTCCACCACACCCAGTCTCAATTGCTATCTCTGCGCACGGCGGGGGTGGGGCCGGCCCGGCAGGCCCTACTTTTGTGGTTTTCAAAAGAAGTAGTTTCAGCACCAGGACTTCAGGCCAGCCTGCCGCAGAAAACAAGACCTCGTTTCAGATGTGGACTCTTCTAGAAGCAGACAGGTTCTGTGGGGCCTTGTGCCTTAGGCCTGGCCACCAGCTGGGCGCTCGCAGGAGCTGCAGGCCCGGCAGGGCTCTAAGGTCCGCCAGGGCTTGCTCTGCAGAAGCCACAGAGCAGGCGCCCACGGGAGGAGGGCCTGAGCCGCACGCGGGTGCAGCTCCTGCACCACCCGCAGTCCTGGCCTCTTCTCACTGATGTCCCCTTTCTGCCTACTTCCCGGCTGCCAAGAAGCGGCAGTCCGCCCCACCACGGCCTTCCACCTAATGCGGGCCCTAGAGCCCGCCGCCAGGCCTCCAACATCAGGCAGCGATGCCCCTGCCTGCCCAGCGACTGCCTAGAAGGTGCTGCCCGCAGGAGGGGAGCCCACACACCGCATCAGCTGCATGCGTCTGGAGTTCTCAGTTGATATTCCAGGGTTTACACAGAACTGTTTGATTTAAAAAAAGAAGCAACGGGGACGGGGTGGGGTGGAGGGGTGGGGAGTGTTGGTAAGGCAGACCTAGACTCTTACTTCTTAAATGTTCGTGATATAAAAAATTAACACTGCAATGAAATGAAGTTGTAGTCGTGCAGCTACACCTTGCTGCATCAGCTCCGACCTCAGGGCCCTACTCAGAAACGCCTGGTAAGCAGCACTGGGGTGGGGCCTCACAGCCCTCTCAGAACAGCTCATCCCTCCTTCAGCCTCCTTCTGACACCAGGAGAAAAACTGATCTCAGATGGATGACCTCCACATGATACAAGGAAGAAGTGATCTCCCGACCTGAAAGGACCTGGGACGAGTTCCTGTTCTCTAAAACCGAAGAATTAATTTTAGGAACAAACAGAGGTTAAAGTAGAATATATGTATTGGGGACAAAGAAAGCTCCTGTCTGAGAGAGGGACAGGAGGGGGGCCCTGAGCTGCCAGTGGTCCCCAGAGAGCTGACTCTTCCAGGGATTTTTTTTTTTTTTTTTACCTCAGATTGAACTCAGTACCCTACACTTGCCAGGCAAGCGCTTATTCTACTGAGCTATCTCCCCGGCCCCTTGTAGGGACTTTTATAGAGGAAAACCATGCGGTGAGACAGTCAGACAGGGCTGACTAAGGTGGTGGAGAAGACAAGGGAACTCACTTATGTGAGCATGAGGTGGGACAAAACTATGGTCAACCAATGAGATTACAAGCACCATTGCTCAGGTAAAATTGATTAAATCCAGGACCAAATGGTGAAGTGAGTCACATAGCAAGTAGGCATAAATACAGGACAGGAGCTCTTCCTGTTGGGGATTGGGCTAGTGACCCTTTCAAGGTGACTGACACCTATTTAGAATATCAATATCCCTGAGGCCCATCCCTAGGGAAGTAAGTGGCTGCATTTGTTTATTCTTTTGTCTTAGAGGTTTGGCCCGGGGTGGGGAGGGGGGGAGTGTCTGTCTCTTCCAAAGTTGCAAAGTCACCTTGGCTTCCATCCTGTCTCCTTGAGGGCCTGGCCCTGTCTGACTGCCTCTAATATTTCTATCTAATTCAGCAGCCTACAGCACTTACACCAAGTGAGGACACTGAATCTGGCACCACAATTTGCCTGCAAAACTGCCGATGCACCTACAGTGTGGAACCTTAAGGGCCTCTGAGAAGCGGGGTGGGAGTCTCTGAGTCGGGACAGCTCCACAACCCTACTGTTGCAGGCAGCTGAGTTAGACAGAAATATTACAGGCAGTTAGTCAGGGCCAGGCCCTCAAGCAGACAACTCAGGAGAGAAGACACCTTACAACTGTGGGAGGGACGGATGCTCCTGCTGTAGGCCAGACCTAAGACCAAAGATCAAACAAATGCTGACCTCCCAAAAGATTAGCATCCGGGATTGATCATCACCCTGAGGAAGCCCAGAAGAATCATTAATCTGACTACTACTGGAAAAAGTCCTGTTCAATATTCATGCCCGCTTGCTACATAACTCACTTCCCCATTCTAGTGTCTACCTCGTGAAGCTTTCTTAGAAAGAAGATACCAACATGTGTAAAGTATTTAATTAGTGCCAGCCACGTGCTAAGTGCTTTTAGTGCTGGCTCTTAGTGATATAGGGACCTCCAGATGATACAGGTAAAAAATGATCTCCTAGCCTGAAAGGTACTTGGAATGAGTTCGTGTTCATTCAATTTTACCTGACCAATAGTGCTTGTAATCTCATTAGTTGACCATAGTTTTGTCCCACCTCATGCCCACCTAAGCAAGTTCCCATGTTCTCTACCTTAGACCTGCATGGTTTTACACTATAAAAGTCCTTGGAAGAGACAACTTTCCAGGGACCACCCACACGGGGACCCCTTTCTGGTCCTCTCTCGGACAACTTTCTTTCTTCCAATAAATATATTCTGCTCTTAACCTCCATTTGTTCCTAAAATTCACTCTTTGGTTTTAGAGAACATGAACTTATTCCTAGTACCTTTCAGGCTAGGAGATCATTTTTTACCTGTATCATCTGGAGGTCCCTATATCACTAAGAGCCAGCACTAAAAGCACTTAGCACGTGGCTGGCACTAATTAAATACTTTACACATGTTGGTATCTTCTTTCTAAGAAAGCTTCACGAGGTAGACACTAGAATTCTGGCCCTTACACAGATAAAGTCCGAGAGCCTGGGGGTCACCCAGCTCACCCAGGCCCACACATCTCCTCCGTGGAATCCCACCCTCGGGTCTGAGGCTCCTGACAGTGGTGTAAGATGCAGGCACATGCACAGCATCGTCCTTCTTTATTTTTAAGGGTCTTGTGAGGGTGAAAATAGAATTGGGTGGGCCTAGAAAATGGTGCAGAAGCACAGCCAGGAGACAGGATGGGAGCCTGGGACAAGCACAAGCCGCTTCTGTCTGTGCTGCCTTGATTTCTGTTTTTGCTAATAAACAAATACTGCCTGTTTCTTTTAAATATCAAAATAATTACTTAAAAGAGAAGAAGACGATCCCCCAGGACAGTTGAGAGAGCTCTGGACCCCTGAAATGCCCAGGCTGCTGCGATCTCCTCCCGACCCTGGCCCTGTCTATCCTGATGGAAGGGCAGGCCTGGGACCTCAGCACCCTGCGTGGCTGCAGGCACTGCGAGCTGAAAGTCCAGCCACCTCAAAATGAGGAATGAGAAGGGCTGAGGAGGCAGCTCAGTGTGAGGTTCTGGGTCAAGCCCAGCATCACAGAAACAGATAAATAAATAAATCTGACTGGAGGGCTGGCGAGATGGCTCAGTGGTCTAAAGCACCTACTTGGAACAAGCTTGGCAAAGCACAGGGACCGCGGTTCAATCCCCCAGCACCACATGCCAGCCAGCCCCGCCCCCTGATGGGCTGAGCTGGCCACACACACACACACACACAATAAATAAATAAATAAATAAATAAATGTTAAAAAAAAAAAAATCTGACTGGAAGATGGGCTGCGGGGCACACACCAGGGCTGAAGGCAGCTGCGGCCCAGTGGCGGAGAAGGGCAGCAGGAACCACATCTGCGCCTTTGCCTAACACACACTCCTGCCAGAGGCAGCCTTCTGCTTTGATCAAGCTTGTGATGGCTTAGCCACTAAGCACCACTGAGCAGCAAAGGTGATGACCACACCAGGGACTTCTGGGTAGTGGCCACCAGCCACTACCGGCTGTGTAAGAGCTCCCCCCAGAGAGAAAGCTGAGTATCAAATTCTCTTTTCGAACAAGTGGTCTCGAGTACTTAGGAATCTTCTACTTAAAGGCCGAACTCTAATGGGGTCTGCACCGCACCCCAAGAATCAACGCCTGGGATGCGGAGGACTGCGCAGGTGCGACCGGGTCTACACAAAACCCCGCCCCCGTCTCAGCAGAGGAAACCACCAGGTAAGCTTGCACTGCAAAGCAATCGCTACTCTGCATCCTTCTGAATCTCCCATCTAACTCTCAGTAGCTCTGCCAGGTTATCCACGCCCATTTTGTAGAAAAGGGAGCCGAAGTCTGGAGGACTAGATAGCAAGCACTCCAGCGCAGTGCAAGCTCAGGGCCGAACTCTAATGGGGGGCTGCCCTGGGGGATCTGGGCTGAGCCTGGCCACAGCCCAAGGTCGCCCTGTGCTGCGGCCGCCCCTCAGCTGTACTGGCCTGCCCGAGCACTTACCCTGGCTGGGTGCAGGCAGCTCACTGAGAGCCTCGAGCTTGTAGGGAAGAATTTAAGTTCAGTGAAGTCATGGTGTAAAGTAACCTACGTAGAGACTACACATAAGCAAACACCCTTTCAATAAAGCAAACAATATTCTGGGGAACATCGTGGGCTGCCCTGCGGAGCGGCGCATTTTCCACTCTGCGTCAACGCTGACACCCCAACCTCATCCCAGCCTCGGCCGAAGCGCCAGCCCGCCGTGCACTGCGAGGCCAGACGAGCCCTGGCTGCACGCAGGTGCAGCCGCAGAGCCCGGTACCGCCGGCGCGGAGGGCAGACCTTGGTCCTAACCCCGCCGCCACATGGAAGGAGACCTACCCGGGGCACCTGGGGCGGGCACAAAGGCTGACTTTCCAAGCAGCTCAGATTCTCTTCGCAGCATTTCCTCTGGCGCTGAGCCCAGCTCCACTTCCTCCGGTTCTCCCTGCTCGTTCCATCCCGCGCTTCTCATCTCCTTGGTCTGGGTCTGGCCAGCCTCTTCCAGCATCAGGTCTTTCTTACTTCTGACAGCCCAGTGCATGGACTAATTTAAAATAAACATGAAACATTAAGCCAATATTGTATGCTTTCTACATTTAAAGTGTAATATGTACATCTAATGTAGTATCATAGTACTAATAGAATATTAGACTTCATTATTAACCAGATACTTGTCAAGTAATCTGAATAGTGATTACTCCAAACTATAATTGACTAATCATCGCTAATTTGGAAGACTAGTATCATATGGTATGGAGCAAAGGGACGAGTATTAGAGAGGTACAAAGAATGAGGTAGTTTTTCAGAAAGCTAAACACAGAATCATTAAATGACCCAGAAATTCCATTTATAGGCATATACCCTGCCAGGTGTGCCTGTAATCTCAGCACTCAGGAAGCTAAGGATTGCCATCAGTTTGAGGCCAGACAGGGCTACATAAGAGAGTTCAAGGCCAACCTACATTACATTGTTATGAGTCTTCCCCCTCTCAGCCTGAGGAAACCCATGTTAACAGCCAATATAAAAAGAAAACCTGCTAAACTTTCAATAGATGTCAATGCAGATTTGTCAGTTACCCAGCCAATGGCCCTACTTGCCAACCAGAACGTACTCAGTGTTTTCCATAGGTCTGGCAATTCATGTGCTCCAGTACCCAATGGCCATGAAAGATAAAAAGAGATTAAATCTCACATTTAAGAGATCTCTGCCAAATGACCTACAAAATGTTCTGACTAGTGTTTTTATAATTACAAACTTTAAAAGGTTATTGCATTCCAGATCTGCTAAGTGATTACTTTATCCTGTTGATGTTATTATTTGTTTAACTGTTTCTTTGGTTTGCCTCCTCCAGATTTAAAACTATTCCATCTACCCAAGATAAAATTGCCTGGTGTCTATTGAGGGCTTTTACGTAGAACTTCTGGAGAGTGTCTCTGACTGCCAGTCAACAACTGTGACCCCTTTCAACCTGAAGAAGCCAGAGCAGTCATCGCCCATACTTCTCGCATAGCAGTTTGGGTTACTTCTTCAGAGGGAAAATGTTGCAGGCAGCTGAGTTAGATTAAAAATATTATTGGCAGTCAGACAGGGCTAAGCCTTCAAGGAGACAGAATTAAAGACAAGGTGACTTTACAGCTTGAGAGAGACAGATGCTCCCCACTGTGGGCCAGACCTCAAGACAAAAGAGGAAAATACCTGGCTGATGTTACAGCTTAAGAGGTGACACAAAAACCAGTGGGGACATGGGAGATATTGCCTGTTCTAGAGTTCTAGAAAAACCCACCTACTCAGACTTTGTTGTTAACTAAGGTTCCTTGCTGTTCGAATAAATTAGCAGTGGTGACCCCATGTCAAAATAATTTGATATAACATCACCAAAAAGGGTCATCAGTGTGTAAGACCTGAGAGATTTAAGCATATGCTATGATATTTAGTGTTGTTTAAAACCTCTACCCCTCCCAAACCTCTTCTTTAACAAAATAGCAAAACAATATATAAAACAATTGGGGTGTAATGTAGCAAAAAATAAATAAATTGGCTCTAGAGATTTGTTAAAAAAAAAAATAGAGACTATTCTCAATGCCTCCTTGTATAAATGACCTGATACCTACCTCAATTGGACCTGTTCTCCTGTTTCTCTTGGCTCTATCGGCCCGTTTTATAAACTGTTTAACTAAGTATGTTCAAAAAATCCAGGCTGTCAAGTTAATGGTGCTGAGATCTAACTACGAACCCCTCATGCTCCTGGGACAATTATAATAACTTGGGGGTTTTAGCTAAATCAATTATTTGATTCCCAGATAAAACCAGTGGGGAATGTAATGGGTCAACTCACATTTTATGCTATAATTGTAAATCTTGTGTTTTCTGTTGTGTAAATATATAGTCACCCACTTTTCTAGGTTGTTTAGTAAATAGTGGCTGTTTCTTGCTGTTTGCTAGATAAAATTCCTACCTCACCAATTCCTGTAACCCTCACCAATTCCTGTAACTCTCACCAATTTATGTTAACAAAGTTAGCTCACAGAGATGACTTCAAAAGAAAATTAAATAGGCTTTAACTTCTTGTAACCTTGGGTTATGCAAGGCTGCATGCAAGTACTCAGGTGCAAGATAACCACAAACTAAAACCAAGCCCCAGGAAATTTAGTTTGAGTAGTGGTCACAATAACCCTAAAAGCCTTATTGTGTGTCAGACAATGAATTTGTTTACCACATGGAATGTGGTTCCAGGTTTTAAAACCTCCTGCCTCCTAGGCTAGCTGCCTTTCGGTCCTCTCCTGCATGAGAGCTGACTGGGGGCCCTGAACTCAGTAATAAATGGCTTTCTGAATTCCAATCTGACCATCTGGTTCCTACTCTGAGTGACCCATAACAACATAAGTGAGACCCTGTGTCTCAAAATAAAAAAGTAGAAAAGGCTGTGACATGCAGCTCAGGGCAGAGGTCTTGGGTTTAATACCCAGTGTGACAAAAAAATGTGATACATACACAAATGTGTGTACAATGAAATACTAGTCACAAAAAGCAAGATATTGATACACACTGCAATTTGGATGAACCATGAAATATACTAAATGAAAGAAGCCAGATCAAAAGGTCACATTTTGATCCCCAGGTACGCCAAAACAAATAAATAATAATGATAATAAAATAAAATAAAGGAAAAAACATCATATGTTCATAGTTCTAGCTAATAAACATCCATAAGAGACAATCCAGGGATAGAAAACACATTAGTTGTTACCAGGGGTTATTAGTTTACAAAAAATTATAATAGAGCCTATCTCTAGGAAAGGGAAGGAGACCCACCAGCTTGGGCCTCCCTCCTGTCCCTCTCTCAGACAGGAGCTTTCTTTCCCCCAATAAATATATTCTGCTTATAACCTCCATTTGTTCCTAAACTTCATTCCTTGGCTTTGGAGAACATGAACTCATTCCAGGTATCTTTTAGGTTGGGAGATCATTTTTCTCCCTATATCATTTGGAGGTCATTCACCAGACATAATTTTTTTCTCCGTGTCACTTCTACAAAACAAACTAAGTCCTTGAAACTGTCCCTAGAAACTTGTGTCTAATGACCGAGGTGATTCTTTGCCCAGTGATTTAACTGTCTGCATCATTCTGGCTGCTTCTAGTGGGAGCAGTGGGGGCAGTGAGGGGACAGGATCAAAAAAATGGTGCCTCTGAAGAGCAAATATCTAGGTCAGGATACAGGGAAACAAAATGACAAGACAGAGGTTCTTTGTGATAGGTTTTGATGGTGTCGCAGCAGAGAAACAGGCAGAAGGAAAAGGGGAAAGGAGCTTTATTATAAAGGGAAAGGGGCTTCATTATCTTGGAGGACAGGGAGAGAATTTGGGAAGATAAGGAATTCTCTGGATTGGAACTAAGGGAGGCTGAGGCTTTTATAACCTTTTGTCAGGGGTGGGGTTTGAGGAGGATGTTTAGATATACCTAAGGAGCTGATTGGGGCCTTCCCTGAGGTGGCAGGAAAGGTAAAAGGAAACTGCATCCTGGGCTGATTTGGAGAAGGGGGGAGGTGGTCTCTGGGAAGATAAGCTGTTGTTTTAAGGGCTTCAGCCATATTGGATGACCACCATAATAATTCAGCAATTCATACTAGAGCCAGAATACTTTGTATGTACACTTCTTTTTTTTTTTTAATATTTATTTATTTATTTATTTAATGTGTGGCCAGCTCAGCCCACCAGGGGGCGGGCTGTCTGGCATGTGGTGCTGGGGATTGAACCATGGTCCCTGTGCTTTGCTAAGCTTGTTCTAAGTAGGTGCTTTAGACCACTGAGCCATCTCACCAGCCCTGTCTGTACACTTCTATAGCTTTATATCCATGAATTCATTTTTGGACCTTTTTCATTTTTGTATCTTTGAATCTTTTTCATTTTCTTCTAGTATTTGCATTTCAAATTTAATTTTTTGAAATGCAGATGGTGCTAGCAATACAACTCGGTGGTAGAACATTTTGTCTGCATGAGGCCCTAGATTCAGTCCTCAACACTGAAAAAAAAAATTGTGGGTGAAGGGATGGACAGACACAGGACTACAGAGAAACAGACATTAAGATTCTTATGTTGAAAATACTTCAAGTAGAATAACTGACTCTGGTGTTAGGTTTTTTCAACACAATAAAGAGACAGGAGACAACCATAGAGCTTCGGGTGCCGAGGAGATGGTTCAGCAGAATAAGCACTTGCCTAGCAAATGCAAGGGCCTGAGTTCAATCTCTGGTTCCACCAAAAAGATGAAAAACCACAGAGCTTCCGAGGTCTGGCCTAAGGAACAAATGCTATATAGTGTCAGGATTAGGGTGGGGTTTAAGGGACAGTCCATGTAACACGGCAGATAGTGATTGGGTAAGAACTGGGAACAAGGAAGCAGGATGTTGTAAACAGGAGGTAGGAAGTTGTAGTTTGACCAGGCAGAAGGAAGGTGGAGCGTGGCACGTAGCCTCCTGTGGCCCCTGCCATATTGGCTGTCACCATAATGACTCAGCAGAACTTTTAATAAGGTGGCGAAAACCCATCACATGGAATACACCAAAATAAAGAACATCACTGATTCTTGAAATGCCATCTCAATATTGTGGGAGGCTAGTCCTGAAGCACTAATGTTGTAGGCTGCTAAATTAGATGTAAATATTATAGGCAGTCAGATAGAGTCAGGCCCTCAGGAAGACAATATGGAAGACAAGGTCACTTTGCAACTTTGGAAGAGACAGACACTCCCACAGTAGGCCAGACCTCTCAAGACAAAAGAGTAAACAAATGCAGCCACATACTTCCCTAGGGATAGGCATACTTCCCATGGGATTGATATTCTAAATAGGTATCAGTCCCCTTGAAAAAGTCAGTAACCCAACCCTCCCCAACAGGAAGAGACCCTGTCCCATATTCATGCCCACTTGCTACATAACTCACTTCCTGATTTGGCACTGTATTTAATCAATTTTACATGAACAATGGGGCTTGTAATCTCATTGGTTGACCATAATTTTGTCCCACCTCATGCCCACCTAAGCAAGTT